AGGGACGAAGCGTCTGCCTTCCTCAAGACTTCGCTCATTGATGAGCATGCTTGGAATGTTTGATATGACACCTGGTTTGGTGGAAGGAGCTGATGACCCAGGACGCATTTTCTCCAAGAAGCAGAACGTGCATGCGATACTGAGCGTCTTGAGCCTCCTGACCCTTAAAGGTTGTGCTGAAGACAACGATGTGTCTTCGAGCCCCACAGTTGGTCTTTTGGTTTTCACACTTGTCCTTGGATTTTGTTTTACAATTTTCTGGATGATGGTGAACGGTTTGCAACAAAACCGACAGCCAGAGAACGAGCCCGATGCAGAGCCCAATGTCAGTGAAAACGGTGGAACAGAAGTCATGGACCATGCAGCATCCGCGATGTCCGCAGCAGATGCAGCTTTCACAATGCCTTCCAGCAGTTCTATGGCTGACACAGCCCTGACAGCAGAGAACTACGTGAGATGGTTGTTGCAACGATGTGCCCGAAGGAGAGATGAAGCAAATGATCCAATTCGAAGGCAGTTGTATGAGGAAAGAATTGCGATTCTCCGTGGACTTCAGGCAGCCTTGAACTCACCACATGCCTCTTTCCGAAGTTCAGCCCGGAGAGCCCTTGGATCCATGACAGATATCAGCGACGATGAGAATTCTCCAAATTACGCAAGGATCAATGGACCAGAGAATTTGGGTGAAGCTCAGAGAGCTCTTGCTTTCATCCATTCGCTCCAAAGCGGCGCTTCAAGCAGCACAGGTTTCGTCACCAATGTTGACATGGTCGCAGATGCCTTGGGAAGGAATGCAAACTATCCTCCTTCTCCTGCGTCCGAATCAGAAGCTGACGAGACCAGGTCGCAGGCCATGCAAAGGTATATGAGTTCGAGGAGGAGCGACGTTTCAGATCCAAGCTTGTGGAACTATTTGCACAATGGAGATGAGATTTCAGATGAGAGCGTCGAGAGCGATGGAAGCAATGCCACATAGCAGAACAATGACTTGGTGAATGAAAACAGAAGTGGTTTCCTAGCCACAGGTGCTTGGAAACAGCTTGCAAGGCTTTAGCCAGGGGATAACATGGATCCCTGTTAGCCTTTGGATGTCTACATTTACCATGAGGAAATTAGAGCGTTTCAAGGTGTTGGGTCATGCAAATCCTAAAAGGATATAGCAAGTACTGGCATCCTAAAATGGACCCCAGCGGCAAAGCATGGCTACAACTTTTCCATAGGAATTTCAGTTTGTTGCGACACTAGCCAAAAGGCTGTGTCGAGGCGGGGTGCTTGTGATTTCCGTTCCATGCATCCTTGTTTACATACATGTCCAGTTAGATGTCTTGTCAAGTTTTCTTGTTGTGCAACACGCACAAATCAAGAAGTGCATTCCGAGACGCTTTTGCATCAAGCAAAACAATCAGAAGTTAATCTAGGCCACTCCTTAAAACGCGTAGGATTTGCAGCAGAGCACAAGGTAGAAATCCAAAACGGATAGTTGTAGCTTGTTTTGAAACTCAACCTCCAAAGGAGGAACAAAACCTTGTGCACTGTGCTCATGTCAAACATGCATGGGATGACAGGCGCAAATCAGAAGTGTAACAATCGATTCGCAGTCCATGTTACATGACACATGGATTGATCCTCATGTATTTACTTTGAGGCCTTGCGTGTCAAAACAGAGAGGCTTTGCGGATCAAAACAGAGAGTCTAGGTGTGCGATTTCACGTGCATCTTTTGCACTCGTGAAAACGCACGGCAAGTTGCTTGGAACATTCTTCACATCTACATCTATTTCTATGTGTGTGTATATATATTTTTATATATATATATATGTATATCATATGCGCATGCATTTACACATTTTTATATATATATATAGAGAGATATAGATACAGATATAGATGTAGATAGAGATATAGATGTAGATATAGATATAGATATAGATATAGGTATATGATGATATATGCACATAAATGTAGAGAATTGTAGAGAAATATATGTATGCAACAGGTGATTTGATAGGGTTAGGGAAAATCACCAATTTGAACTGTTGAGCCGTGATCCATAAGACCGCTCACTTTGTTCTTTGTGCCTGTCCTTGCCGGTGGCTTGCTCAAGGGGTCATGCAATACATTTCTGAAAGGATGCCAAACGAAACCATGAAGTCTCGAAACCACAAGAAGACAGCCAGCATTGAGTTCAGCATTTTAAATTATGATATTGATACAGCCTGATACAACCTGGGCATCGCATTGACATGCGTTTCTGCTTCTCGGAACCCATTGATCCACGCCGGGAACGTTGGATGTCTCCGTCGAGAGGGAAAAAATCAACTTCTCGCGGTCAGGTCGGCCCAGTTGTGCGACGTGACCGATGTGAGGGTGGGCAGTGAAAAATATTGAGCACCTTTCAATACCTTTAATATGTAGCTATGAAAAATCACCATTTTTGACACGTAAATCCGTAAATCCCCTGAAACATTTTTTATAGCAAACCATAAATGGGGCGCCCATCTCCGATGAACTTCCTGTTTTCATCCACCGAGTCATGCCATTCTTCACATGGAATTGAGGTGTGGACCGTGATGCTCCGGCTGAGCTTTTTCGTGTGGTTTCAAGGACGCGGTGCCACCTTTTGCCGGTGGTGACATGTCTGCCGAGGGGGATGTGTTGATTTCAAAAAAAGGGGCAATTGAGCAGCTGCGAAACCCCTGTTGGTTGATGATTGGTTCGGCGCTTGGTAACCTAGTCTTTGGGATGATCACAATCACATAGTCATAGTCCATGAACTGGGAATCCCAGCGTAATGGAAGGACAGAGGGTTTTGAACACTTCCATCTCCCCACAGACAAGGTGCGACTGAAAAACATGAGACGTCCTGGTAGTAGGGTGTGAATGGTGTTTTCTATAAACTATATAGACAACCCCCAAATCCAAGGGCTGCTCATGGTTTATCGACATTTTCTGACCTCCAACTGCAATTTCTCAGTCTATGTGTATATATATATGTATATATATATAGATCCATATCTCTATCATTCTATACCTACAACACATGATGTAATATCTCTAAGTCTACATCTTTCATCTCCAGGATGGAGCGTTTTTGCGGCCCCCGGAGTCGGGCCTCACAGTTCAATTTCCCGGAGGATCACTGGACGAATACGTGGGTCTGGGTCAAAGATCATCAAACTAAATGGGGAAAACCGCCAGCCATGTTGAATCTTCGGAGGACTTTCATCGCATTCTTGTTGACCAGATGGTCACCAAATTGCTCTAAAACCCAAAACCTGGTGGTCAAAGCTGAAGCAACTGAAGGATTCTATGTTTAGGTGATTTCAGGATGGCAGATATGGTCACTGAAAAAGTGCTTCCAACCCTTGGCATCCGAGAAAAACTTGGAAAAGACATGTGGAGGTGCTCCAAGGGATAGATGCAATGACCCCTTGGATTCGTGCGTAGTGGCGTAGTCTGTTGGATGTGCATCGTTGGCGTTACAACCCTCGGAATATTCCGAAATGATCCGATGATTTTTTACCAGCTGTCGATTCCTTGGATGCACTGTTTTTTGTGCACTGTCGATTGACCCAGCTTCTTGATTGTATCCTCATATTCACTGGTGAAATCTCCAATTTCTATGGCTCCTCATTTCTGGTGAACTTGGAGCAATAGAAATCACCATGATTTTTTTGTTGCCAAAAATCCAGCATTTTTCAGGGTTTTTTTCCAGCAGAAACTCTGGCTGTCGAGGTGAAGTTGGAGGACCTGGCTCCACAGCAGCTGGCTGACTTCCTTTCGGTGGAGTTGGTGGCGCAGGAGCTGAGGGGATCTGAGTGGATTTGATCCCCAAAAAAATCACTGCTTGGTGGTGACTTGAACATGAATGGATTATGACTATCCATTAACATTGGGTTTTTTTAATCGTCCCAACTGACTAACTCACTCATAATTTTCAGAGGGGTTGGTTGAAAATGTTGAAACCACCAACCAGAATATGGTTCGTGACTCTGAAGAGTGGTTGATGATGGTTAATCACTGGTGATACTTCCAACATCTTCCAACATTTACGCAACTGATGATACAACAGCAGCAGCAGCAACAACAACAACAACAACAACTACAACAACAACAACTACTACTACTACTACAGCTACAACTACAACTACAACAACAACAACAACAACTACTACTACAACTACTACAACTACTACAACTACTACAACTACAACTACAACTACAGCTACAACTACAGCTACAACTACAGCTACAACTACAACAACAACAGCAACTACAACTACAACAACGACTACAACTACAACTACAGCTACAGCTACAACTACAACTACAACTAACTACAACAACAGCAACAACAGCAACAACAGCAACTACAACAACAACTACAACTACAACTACAGCTACAACTACAACTACAACAACAACAGCAACAATAGTTGGGTTTCAATCAACGGGATGACTTCGATAAAGGAGGATGGGATGAGATTGATTCAACTGAGTGGATCCAAATCTGCCCTGTGGATTTAATTCCTCAGATTTTTCAGTGAAGACAAGGGAATGCTAAGCCTCAAAACTAGAGATTAAACCTCTCTAGAGTTTTGTTAGACTCCAACCAAAACGGGCAAGATGATATATACAAAAGTCAGGAACATGGGGTTCACTCATGAACCAAGTATGAATGGATATCAGATAAACTTGATGTAATGTCACCATGTCCATGATAGTATCATCCCTTGACCAGAAGAGATCTTAACAACCCTCCCTACAGGGGACCCCGCAGTGAAAGCTGTAGCAGGGCATCAATAAACGCCCCAGGCTCTTCTTCAATTTTGGAACTGGATGGAAAACCCAGAGAATTACTGTCCCCAAATGACCATGACGACCCTACGACATAGGGAGATGGAAGACCATTCTCTTCCAAAAAATACGCCATCCTCAGGGTCTATCTTCCTTTGGGGGATGGTTTTCTCTTGGGATTGCCCTTGGGAAAGCCCAGACTCGATGGCCGGCTCACGCCAGCTTGATGCGTGGATCCTACAACTGGCTGATACCCCACAAGAACTGACCAAATTACGACGTAGGGTGATGCTCCAAAGCATCTCCAAGCAATGCTGCCGGCCCGAGCCCGAGGACCAGAAGCCTCCAGAGCCCTTGTATCGCCTGAATGAGTTTCAGGAGGTCATTGCTCTGGTGCTTCCCCATATTAAAAAACCCATCGACCCACAAAAGATGGATCAGTTTTTGGAAAAAAAAACACACATCCAAAAATGTAGGTAAATGGTTTTGAGTCGTACCGATACGGGCAACGAGCACGACATGTTGTTTCTCGAAAATTTGTTAGGAATGACATCCTATTTTCCATCGTCATTTCTGATTCCCGTACAAGAGGGTGCTAGGGCGAAATGATTGAGCTTTGGAACAGATTGAATTTTCGGTTCCCCAAGTGTGATGGTTTTATCAAGATCGAACTTCACTGACTTCATCGAAAACGGCCGAATGATTCAAATGTCCGCATTCGAAAGGGGCCCTGTCGGCCACTGGAGATCAATTTTTCCATTGGTGTTGGTGATATTCTTGCGAAAAAATGGAAACACTCGAAGATTTTGGAATTTCGATTTTGTCCATGCTGATTTCCATTGGTGATATTCCCGCGTTTCTTGTGAACTACCAGTGGGCCAGTGTTCACAGTTCACAGTGCCTTTCCATTGGGAATTCTGAGGGACACCGGAAACCAGGAACCTTCAGTGGTTCATAGCCAGCAATGAGGATGGTGACAACATGCGAGATCATGTTTGGATGTTCTAGCCATGGTTATAGTTGTAGCTAACTTCTATCCAAGCTATAGTTATAGTTCAACTACTATAGTAGATATAGTAGTTCACAGTTTTATCATAGTCATAGCTATAGTTCAACTACTATATATCATAGTTATAGTTTCACAGTTATATCATAGCTATAGTAGTTCACAGTTATATCATAGTTAAAGTTGGAGGTTTCTCTCAATCTTTCCAAACGCAGTTGAACCAACTCATCAGTCGCCGTTTGTTCAAACGACGACCGCCGCGGAGGTGTCCGAGATGGACTGTGGACAACGGCTCTTCTATCTCATCAATCAGCCGCTTGGAAGCAACGGTGTCAACTAGGCCTGGTTGATGAGTCATGGTGGCTACTACTGGATGGGTTGCAACCACCTAGATGGCTTTATCATTTATCTCTACTAGATCTAAAACTATCAGTAGGGCAGCAGATCGTTTATGGATCGTTGGGATGCCAATGATAGTTGGGCAGCAACCAATCACGATCGGCCATCATTTTGTGTCAATCTTGGATGAATACTTCAATGCAACTTGATCTCTTGCCATACATGGGATATATGTGTGTATACATACACGCATGCATGCATGCATACATACATCCATACATCCATACATCCATACATCCAATCATCCATACATCCATACATCCATCCATCCATCCATCCGTACATACATACATACATACATACATCCATCCGTACATACATCCGTACATACATACATACATACATACATACATACATACATACATACATACAACATACATACATACATACATACATACATACATACATACATACATACATACATACATACATACATACTACATACATACATACATACATACATACATACATACATACATACATACATACATACATACATACATACATACATACATACATACATACATACATACATACATACATACATACATACATACATACATACATACGTTATATATATATATACTCACACACCTAAGCAAACCAGCTATAAGTTTCAATTTACATCTGCTAAAACCATCTAAAAACCAACCTCTTTGTAGGTCTAGGGTATCTGCTAAAGTCCCCGGCGCCCCAGGACGGTAACGCTGAGAGATGCCATCACCCAGCTGCATGCGGACGTCATGGGCCTGGCTGGGATCTTCATCCAGCTGCTAAGACATTTGTTGGGAGTCCTGGGACGGGCACGGTGGGGTGAAATCGTTTGGTGAATACTGTGGAAAACCATAGGAAAATGGTGGTTTAATGGGATTTAATGGTGATTTAATGGTTAACAATGGTAGAATAATGGGATGATAATGGGATGATCATGGGATTTACCCTCTGGTTATGTCCAAAATAGTTTATGGCTGGGTAAACCATCTATTTCTATGGTGAATCTATGGATAATCTATGGTTAATGGTTAATAGTTACCCTCTGGTAAACTAACATAGCTATTGAAAATGGCCATAGAAATAGTGAATTTTCCCATTAATAGCATGGTGGATCTTTCCATAGTTTTTTGTTAACGTTTACCAGAGGGTAACATGATATATCCAAGTTGTGAATGGGTTATAAAGGGGGCAACCCATCATGTTGATATGGTCAACCTATGTCAAAGCTCCTTCCAAATACCAAGATGCTGAGATGGTGAATGTTGAAGACCATCCTGGGGGATGGAATTCTTTCCGATGTCCAAGTGATGGATGCTTCGAAAGGCATACAGGTTCTTAACTCCGACTAAGGAGTCTTAACTCCGACCACTTTGTCTTAACCACGCTTAGGGGTCTTTAACCCCGACTATGGGGTTCTTGTTCCAGTCTAGATGGCATGTTCCTTGGAAGATTGTATGTTTCCTTTCTTTTGCAGCCATCTTTGGCTGGTGTTCGGCAAGTTGCACTCCATGGACAAGGCCCGGGCAACTCATGTTCTGTGTGTCCTGTTACTAACGCCTGAGACATCTAGGGTTGTGGTAGGCTTCAGCGTCGAATGAAAAGGACTCAGAAATCCAGGGTTTGCAGCCTAAATCCTCCAAAAAGCGAGTTCTTTTGTGATAGGCTTCGCGTCCCGCATCCTTCTCCTTGTTCTTGCCTATGACTCACTACGCGGAAGTTCGCTTTGGTCTCTTCACTTCTTCACTTGCCCTTGTCCACGAACTTGATGCTACATACGCCTTACCTCTACGCCTGACTTCTCTCTTGTCTTTGGTGAGGTCGTCCTCGGGTTCTGTCTCCCGCTTACTCAAACAGTCGGATTCCCGGAAACATCCTGTGTCGAATGAAAAGGACTCAGAAATCCAGGGTTTGCAGCCTAAATCCTCCAAAAAGCGAGTTCTTTTGTGATAGGCTTCGCGTCCCGCATCCTTCTCCTTGTTCTTGCCTATGACTCACTACGCGGAAGTTCGCTTTGGTCTCTTCACTTCTTCACTTGCCCTTGTCCACGAACTTGATGCTACATACGCCTTACCTCTACGCCTGACTTCTCTCTTGTCTTTGGTGAGGTCGTCCTCGGGTTCTGTCTCCCGCTTACTCAAACAGTCGGATTCCCGGAAACATCCTGTGTCGAATGAAAAGGACTCAGAAATCCAGGGTTTGCAGCCTAAATCCTCCAAAAAGCGAGTTCTTTTGTGATAGGCTTCGCGTCCCGCATCCTTCTCCTTGTTCTTGCCTATGACTCACTACGCGGAAGTTCGCTTTGGTCTCTTCACTTCTTCACTTGCCCTTGTCCACGAACTTGATGCTACATACGCCTTACCTCTACGCCTGACTTCTCTCTTGTCTTTGGTGAGGTCGTCCTCGGGTTCTGTCTCCCGCTTACTCAAACAGTCGGATTCCCGGAAACATCCTGTGTCGAATGAAAAGGACTCAGAAATCCAGGGTTTGCAGCCTAAATCCTCCAAAAAGCGAGTTCTTTTGTGATAGGCTTCGCGTCCCGCATCCTTCTCCTTGTTCTTGCCTATGACTCACTACGCGGAAGTTCGCTTTGGTCTCTTCACTTCTTCACTTGCCCTTGTCCACGAACTTGATGCTACATACGCCTTACCTCTACGCCTGACTTCTCTCTTGTCTTTGGTGAGGTCGTCCTCGGGTTCTGTCTCCCGCTTACTCAAACAGTCGGATTCCCGGAAACATCCTGTGTCGAATGAAAAGGACTCAGAAATCCAGGGTTTGCAGCCTAAATCCTCCAAAAAGCGAGTTCTTTTGTGATAGGCTTCGCGTCCCGCATCCTTCTCCTTGTTCTTGCCTATGACTCACTACGCGGAAGTTCGCTTTGGTCTCTTCACTTCTTCACTTGCCCTTGTCCACGAACTTGATGCTACATACGCCTTACCTCTACGCCTGACTTCTCTCTTGTCTTTGGTGAGGTCGTCCTCGGGTTCTGTCTCCCGCTTACTCAAACAGTCGGATTCCCGGAAACATCCTGTGTCGAATGAAAAGGACTCAGAAATCCAGGGTTTGCAGCCTAAATCCTCCAAAAAGCGAGTTCTTTTGTGATAGGCTTCGCGTCCCGCATCCTTCTCCTTGTTCTTGCCTATGACTCACTACGCGGAAGTTCGCTTTGGTCTCTTCACTTCTTCACTTGCCCTTGTCCACGAACTTGATGCTACATACGCCTTACCTCTACGCCTGACTTCTCTCTTGTCTTTGGTGAGGTCGTCCTCGGGTTCTGTCTCCCGCTTACTCAAACAGTCGGATTCCCGGAAACATCCTGTGTCGAATGAAAAGGACTCAGAAATCCAGGGTTTGCAGCCTAAATCCTCCAAAAAGCGAGTTCTTTTGTGATAGGCTTCGCGTCCCGCATCCTTCTCCTTGTTCTTGCCTATGACTCACTACGCGGAAGTTCGCTTTGGTCTCTTCACTTCTTCACTTGCCCTTGTCCACGAACTTGATGCTACATACGCCTTACCTCTACGCCTGACTTCTCTCTTGTCTTTGGTGAGGTCGTCCTCGGGTTCTGTCTCCCGCTTACTCAAACAGTCGGATTCCCGGAAACATCCTGTGTCGAATGAAAAGGACTCAGAAATCCAGGGTTTGCAGCCTAAATCCTCCAAAAAGCGAGTTCTTTTGTGATAGGCTTCGCGTCCCGCATCCTTCTCCTTGTTCTTGCCTATGACTCACTACGCGGAAGTTCGCTTTGGTCTCTTCACTTCTTCACTTGCCCTTGTCCACGAACTTGATGCTACATACGCCTTACCTCTACGCCTGACTTCTCTCTTGTCTTTGGTGAGGTCGTCCTCGGGTTCTGTCTCCCGCTTACTCAAACAGTCGGATTCCCGGAAACATCCTGTGTCGAATGAAAAGGACTCAGAAATCCAGGGTTTGCAGCCTAAATCCTCCAAAAAGCGAGTTCTTTTGTGATAGGCTTCGCGTCCCGCATCCTTCTCCTTGTTCTTGCCTATGACTCACTACGCGGAAGTTCGCTTTGGTCTCTTCACTTCTTCACTTGCCCTTGTCCACGAACTTGATGCTACATACGCCTTACCTCTACGCCTGACTTCTCTCTTGTCTTTGGTGAGGTCGTCCTCGGGTTCTGTCTCCCGCTTACTCAAACAGTCGGATTCCCGGAAACATCCTGTGTCGAATGAAAAGGACTCAGAAATCCAGGGTTTGCAGCCTAAATCCTCCAAAAAGCGAGTTCTTTTGTGATAGGCTTCGCGTCCCGCATCCTTCTCCTTGTTCTTGCCTATGACTCACTACGCGGAAGTTCGCTTTGGTCTCTTCACTTGCCCTTGTCCACGAACTTGATGCTACATACGCCTTACCTCTACGCCTGACTTCTCTCTTGTCTTTGGTGAGGTCGTCCTCGGGTTCTGTCTCCCGCTTACTCAAACAGTCGGATTCCCGGAAACATCCTGTGTCGAATGAAAAGGACTCAGAAATCCAGGGTTTGCAGCCTAAATCCTCCAAAAAGCGAGTTCTTTTGTGATAGGCTTCGCGTCCCGCATCCTTCTCCTTGTTCTTGCCTATGACTCACTACGCGGAAGTTGGGAAGTTCGCTTTGGTCTCTTCACTTCTTCACTTGCCCTTGTCCACGAACTTGATGCTACATACGCCTTACCTCTACGCCTGACTTCTCTCTTGTCTTTGGTGAGGTCGTCCTCGGGTTCTGTCTCCCGCTTACTCAAACAGTCGGATTCCCGGAAACATCCTGTGTCGAATGAAAAGGACTCAGAAATCCAGGGTTTGCAGCCTAAATCCTCCAAAAAGCGAGTTCTTTTGCAGCCTTGTTCATTTCTCATCTATCCAGATGTCTTCGCACCCGCCGCTTTAGCAAACCTGCTTTTCGACCCTCCCGAGCCACAAATCATTGGAAAAAACACACAGTGCTTGGCGACTTTCCTACCTTTTCGCGCACCTGCATCTTCTCTCTTCTGACTTTCTCCATCTCTTATCTTCTCACTTCTGACTGTCTCCCTGTCGGAGCTTCTTCCTGGCTGTGCTTTTCCATCTGTCAATATGGTCGGAAGCTTCGCTTCTAAACTTCCTTCGATGATACGAACTGTTTTCGGAGCGAAAGCAGATTTGGAAATGGCTGCAGAGGTTTTTGTTGTGTATTTTTCGAGTCCTGATAAGCGGAACATCTGATATCAGCACATGTGAGACACGGGTGCTCCGTGAAACCTTTGTGGGATGCATTTTGCAGTTTCATTCTCAGAAAATGCGGTGTAAGTAGAAAGACGTTGCAGGACAATTGCTGACTTGCCGTTGATCAAGCCAACTTTTGAGGGTCGCACCAAAATTTGACTGCGGTTTGTTCATTGAGCGGTTTTTTGTGGCTTAAGGGGACATGCCACCCAGACGAAAACACGAATGGGTAGAAGTCACATCGGTGGATGTGGATCTGCCGGGGCCAGAGGAGATCCCCCGCCAGTACTTGCGGAGTTGTTCTCAGACTTATGCTGACAAGCACAAGTTGACACTTGCGCATTGGTCCCAGCCAAAGAGAACAGGAACCGGTTGGCGCACCACTTGCCATTGCAATGAACATGTGAACTGTGCACGTTGGTATCGATTCACCGGAGAGGTTGGAGAGAGGGCATACACACTTCGTGTCTCCAGCTCTGGAGAGTGTGGTGGCGAGCTGAAGAAGGCCCGCAAGGCTCCAGGAAGGGGCGATGCAGCTTCGGTCCAGGAGATTCGAGCAGCCAAAGTTGCCATAGACAAGCTTCAGCAAGCCCGTGGCCATTTTCCATCTCCCAACGATGTCCGGTGTGAGCTTGGCGAGACATGGGCTGCTTCTCGGCAAAAATTGAAAGGAGTAGTCACCAGAGTGCGACACAAGAAAGGCTTTGCATCCAAGGCGCGCAACAAGAAGAGGCTCTCGGTGGGATGTTTCCAGGAGTTTGTGGATGCACGACGGAGCTTCGAGCAATCCATGTGCTTCATGTCCGTCAGTCTCAATGCAACTGTTCTCAGCTATGTGGTGTTCTTCTCAGCTTTCTTGTCAGTGCTGGAAGAGTGGAAGCCGACCAAATTGATCATGCAAGCTGATTGCACCTTCAAAGTGGATTGGGAAGGCTACGTATGGGGTTTGTTGGACTTGTCACTTTTCGACGCCTACGGGAACGCTGGCGAAAGACATTTATGCCCGTGCTCATGCTTGCCCACCCAAGAGAGGACAGGGACTTGCAACTTGTTTGATCGTGCAGTGGTAGGAAAAAAGATGGCATGGAGACATGCGATGATCTATTTATCTTCTACTCCAGAGATAAGCACCGTCAAATTTGAAATTTGTTGGAGATTAGGTTTCTCAATTCCCTGAGAAAAACACAAAGTCTGCACACAACTGTTCTGGGTTTGGCATCCTTGGAGGATAAACAGATATGGACAAAGGCTTTTCAAGACTTGGCGCAAGAGCTACGTCGTCGGCATTTGCCTCCAGTCAGCAAGCTCTGTTGTGATTGGAGAAAGGAAATACCCGGTGCTTTCTTCGATTCGTTTGAAGATGG